CATCCCTCGTATCCTATCTTCTGCGTTCTGCGTTCGATCTTCTCTGCGGCAGATCATATCCTCTGCGAGGATCTCATCCTCTCTCGATCCCTTGAGCCATATACGATCTCTTAATCATTCCTTCTCTTTTCTCTGGTCTATATTAGGGTCTGTTTGGAGCATTTCAGTGGGCCGAAAATCTCTTGGAGGGAGGGAAAACTCTGCTATTTTCTTTTCTCAACTTGCTTCTTTAGTTTTTTTTTTTTGTGCTTGGGTTGACTTCCTCTTACTGTTGGAGGAAAGATTAATGTTGAGGAGTGCTTTTAAAATTTCTGTGTTGCTTTTTGCTGCAAAGAGGTACCTTCTTCACCCCTGCTTCTTTTCGGTTTTCCCTCTGCCGAGCCTTTGAGCTTGGTGTTGTGGATGGTATAGCATGCTAGCGTGATATTGCACCTATATTTTTGAAATATTTGTTACTCAAGCATCTAGAAATGGAAATGTGAGCATGTTCTAGGAGTTAGACCTGATTACTTGCTTAAAGTGGTAAAGCTATGGCATGTTTCTATTTATTGTGGCATATTTTTATTGGAAGCAATTAGGAGGGTTGAAACATGGCTTTGAGACAATGTTAGCTCCTCTTGCAAGCATGTTATAATATGTATCTAGCATGAGACATTGGAGGGTTTATTTTGTCTTTCACGCATGGAAGGCTCGGTCTTGGCATCTTATAATTCTTTTTGGCTTAAGAATGCATGCTATGAAGAAATTTATCTGATTTGGAAAAGTTCTACAGCTATTTTTATTCGAAACACGTGGTGGCCCTATGTTTTGATGTTTTGAGGGCATGAGGATGTTTTCTAGCCTTTGTTGTGGCCTGGTTTTGAGCCTTAGCTGCGGTCCGGTTTGGTTCTTGTTGGTACTCGGTTTGCACTATTGAAGCATGGGATATTGATTTCATCGAGGCCTTTGACTTTGGTTTTAGTTGAGGTTTTGTCCTAATGATTTGAGTTCCATTTATTAGCCTCAGAAGCTTGTCCTTTGGCTCTGGTTGGGGGCTCGGTTTGCTGGTTTAGCTCCTACCCGAGAGCCTATGTTTGTGCTTTATACTTGTCCCTACCCGAGAGGTGGCTTGGGGGCTTGATTTGGTTTGTTCTAGGCCCTCACCCGAGAACTTGTCTTGGTGTGTTGTGCTGTCCTTATTCGAGAGCTGTCGGATGGTTTCCTACTATTACCCGTGAGACATATTGAGGGTTGTTTAATTTGATTTGGTCCTTCTTGTTGGGCTTGAATTACTTGGATGATTGTTGGTGGATCAAATTTGTCATCCCAAAATTATGGTTATATTTTGTACTCTTTTACGTATATCAAAGATTCTCGTGGAATTGATTCGGGTCGCCTTGGCCACGAGCCTTTCTAGTGCCTTGGGTTGCCTTGGCCGCGAGCCTTTCTTGTGCCTTGGGTTGTCTTGTGCCTTGGGTTGCCTTGGCCGTGAGCCTCTTTTGGCCCTATTTCCTGCCTTAGCGGTGAGCGTGTTGGTGGCCTTTGCCGAGAGCCTTGGTGGCTGCTTCCTCTTCTCTATTGACCCCAACCGTGAGCATTTATGTGGCTTTATTGGAAAGTTCTATGTTTATTTGGTATGTGAAGCTATTGATTAATTTGAGAGTTGGAAATGAGTTTGGAGGTGCCGATGGTAGTCTTCCCCGGGTCACTTTCCTTTTGTTCAATTCATGGAATTTGGAGGATTTTCAAGTCCTATTTGTCCTATTTGTTGGTTGAATTAAATTAAGCTCATGGAAGATATTTTTTTTTTTGAGGTTAGATTTTTTTAGGTTAGACACCAATATCGGGGAGGTCATGTGTGGGTGATCGTCGTGTCGGTTCGGGCCCGTTTCGACTCGTTCGAGACAGGATTTGGAAAGGACACCCTCCTTGGGTTGATCCAATTCTAATAAAAGCGAGAAAATAATATCCCTTCGGATTGATTCAAGGACCTTGGGCCCTACCTCTTCAGGTCTTTTCGTATGAGTTTTCAGGGCTGATTCATCTTCCGTCTTTTCGGTGTTTTTGGGATCAGTGTCTCCTCTCTCTCACCCCACTTTTGTTTTTTTTCTTTGTTTATTGGTTCAGTTTTTTGATGCTTATGTCCGATACATAAGTGTCAACGTATAGCCAAAGGCTATACGTGAAACCATCAAGCAATGTCGCAAGTAGTCGTTTTGGGGCGTAAGGTGTTGATGGGGGCTTAGGGCGGTGATAACAAAGGCACACCGGTGGTAGAGCGGAATGATATTCCATCCTACGACATCGGGACACCCCCACGGACCCGGTGAACCGTAAGATGTAACATCATTCACCAACATAAGACTAGTGGGAGTTGACCCGTACATTCTTAGGTTGTTGGTAGTCCTACGCTCGACAGTGTGATAAACTCGTGGACAACTACACTTTTTCAAAACTAATAAAAATAAATTTGATAAGAACGGATACACCTTTTTCAAACAAAAATATATATTTTTTTCTACAAACAAAATTGATATACCCACTTTTGTATGTTTGAAACCTATGTGCATGCTAAAAATATAAATTTTAAATATATTTAAAAAAAATTGGTTGTCCACCTGTTGATTACCTGTTTGGGCCAATGAGTACCCTCCTAAGTTAGGTTCAGTAGGGCACTCTTCTAGTCGAGTGGCGGGCTTTATACATCCGGGTGACCGAATAGTCTTCGACTACCATCGAGTACAAATATATATCTGAGTCTAGCCCTACCCGTGTGTTTGCGGTCCCCTCTTTTTAGACTTTTTCATATGTTTTATCAAAATTTTTGGACAAAACACTCGTGGTCTTTTCTCTGGGATTTTCCCGAGGTTTTGAGGATTTTATTTGAATTGTTGGATTTTATTTGAAATTGTTACTCGTTGATTTTCTCGAGCTTTTCGTCATTGATTATTCGTTGATTTTTCCCGAATTTTCCATTGTGGGTCATTTACCTTTCTTTCTCGAGTTTTTCGGGTGACGTTTCTTTTCTTATTTTGCTTTCGTTTATATGATGCATTTCAGTCTGTTCTATTTGTACCTGTTGCATCAACTACACATAATGAACAACGGATCTCCCAGGTATACAAGTTTGCTTTGTGTTTACAACATGTTACTTTCTTGCAGTTACTTTCCTGCTGTACCTTTTACCTTTTCTTTACACCGCATGTTGTACTGTTCTTTTTCTCTGCATAATCTATTATTGTCCTGTGCTACACATTCTACTGTTGTTCCATACACTGTACAACTTCAACATGTCTCTCATAAAATGTTTAAAGGACTACAACCATATGACCGCTTGATTTGACATCATAACTTGATACCCTAAAAAACTTAAAGTCGTCATGACAAGGAGTTTTGAGCTAGCATTGTGGGCTGCACGACCATCGTCAACAGTAGAACATGTCTAAACTAGTTAAATCATTCCTTTCTTAGAAGTTAAAACAACAATCCACAGGATTTCGAGGTTGTGCTTATGCAACATAAATCCTTAACTTATCTTTAGGCATTTGTACGGCTCTACTGTACATTCTAAGCCCTAACTTGTCTTAGGAGTACGAGGTTGTCGTCAGTCACGACCTAAATTTTCATATCTTCCAGACTATTTGTGTGATCGTTTCACACGAATGTAAGACCTAAATAAATAAAATTGGCAGGATAAAACACTTGAATATTTCTTCCTCGAAACTGAAGCCAAATCATAGGGTAGACTGGGAAGTCACCGAGATTCTCTTTCGGATCTGTAGCATCCCCTAGTTATGTTTCCTTTGGATTCTATAATAAATGTTCTAAGTTTGAACCATTCCCCTTTGCACACCTCTTTGTCCGATTTCGTTGAAAAGTCCTATCCTTTTGACCTCTTTGAAGATAATATTTCCTGATTTTTATCGAGAGTTTTCTTAGGTGACTTCAGTCATTTAAGATGTAATTAACTATAGGGGCTTGCCCTCATAAGAAGTTTTTCCAAACCCAGCTTAATATAAACCTTATTTAATTATTCATATTAAATAGGGGAACTTATCGACAAATAAAACAGTTTCGCAGACCAAACGGATGTCATATATTTTTTAGTTTATCTGATCGAGCCTCATCCTCAAGTCTTGTGCTTATACTTCGGGATAGATACAAGATTTGATGTATAGTGTTCTTTCATTTAAAACTATAAAAAATATGGGGTCAGTTCGATTTCATACTTCAATGTCCTTCCGAAGTGGGCGACGGGATTTCGATTCTGATGACCGATAGCTTCTTGGATCTCGATTCTGGTGACTGACAACTTCTTACGGGCAACTCCCCCAACCTAAATAGTGCCGACACAGTGCAAACACAACATGAACATGATATGATAGAAATTAATTTGTTTAGCTCCAAAAAAGATCAATTTTTTATGGCTGATAAGGATACGGACTTTCTCATCAAAGAAATTGAACCTAATTGAAGGAGCTGAACTAGGCCAATTGTAGGCCTATTTCTAATTGATTTTATCAAAACATAATAAAAATAAGGATAATCCCTTTTTTATTTTAGGTGATAAGAATATGGACTTTCTCATTCAATACCTTAGGATTATTTTTCTATAAATAGGGTTATTTGTGTGGATGTTTAGATAAGTTATTGATTAGTGAAATTTAGGCTAATTTAGCACTTGGTTATTTGATAAATTCTGTGTATGCGGGTTGCTTCAAGCTATGTATGATGAGCTTTCTTTCTCCCATCTTCACCGTGTATGTTGAGCTCCTTTATTTTCTCTTGCTCCTATGCTTTTCTTTATTGATCAACCTCCATCAATTTGATATCACATCATCCTTTTTCATCCTCAATTTTGTAGTATCTAGTTTGAAGCAAGATTCTTTGCTTTCCTCAAAGTTTTTCTTTTAATGGTTTATTTTAGCACCATAATTTGATAATCCTCTATATTTGATTTACAACCATTGACGCCTAATGATAAAGATTTTATCTCTGTCCAAATAAAAATTAAAATAAAAAAAGATTTTATATCTATCCAAATCCATTGACGCCTAATGATAAAACAAACCATTAAACTCAATTTCGAACTATTGTAAACCCAAAATTTAAATATCTCGTAAATCTAATACTTTAAACCTTGTAGTGATGAAATATTGCGTAACCTAAAAACTCTAAAGCTGATAAACTACTAAGCCTCTATGTGTCCTCTCTTTTTTTTTTTTTGCAAATTGTTTCGCGCCAAATCCTTCCCTTTCTCCTTGCTTTAAGAACTTTTCGCAAATCCATAATGGTCACCTTAATTACAATCCTTGTTCTCGTCTTACTCTTCTTTTCAAACGTCCCATAATCCATCTTCTACACGTTTCAGTGTACTTTTGTTCTAATCTGCTTGTTCTACCTAAGAAGCATGCAACTGCATGCTAATATTTTGGGGTGTCAATTCTAACTAATGGGATTGGGCTCGAGTCACCTCGAATATGTTTGATTTGAACCTAATCCATTCATTATAAGTGTAAAAATAACTTGAATTAAACTCTATTCAGACTTGTCGAATCTTTTATTATAGGGATTTTTTTTTTGTTTGGATCTCAATAGGAGGATACAATGGAAAAAAGGATTTATTTAACCGTCCCCACTTATTGGAATAAATGCTTGTTATTGTTTTTTTTTTTTTTGGATCAACCATGGATCAACCAGTTTATCTTAAAAAAATTGAAATGCGAATTGTGTAAATTTTTTATCAACTCAAACCCGAGCCGAATATAACTTGGCCTATAATTTTGACCCAAATCTAACTCAAATAATAACCATGTCAACTCAAGTTTATATTATTTTGGTCAGGTTTGGGTTTGGTTGCCTGGACAGGTCAGATTTATTGACATCCTACTTATATTAGGTTCACCATAATTCTTCTTAGGATTCACATGATGCTTTCTTCCTTTCTTGCCACAATTCCTCTTGTAATCTTGATTGCATCTTTGTGTTTTTGCTCATTGATGCATCAATGACCTTATGTCGATAACTCGATATATTGGATCTTCTCACTTATTTCTCTTATTTGTTTTTCCTCACTTGGTGATCATCCTCTCACAATGACCCATTATTCTAATTCCTTGCTACAATTCTCATCATCTCCTCAAACTTGTTCTGTAGTTTTCCTTAGATGCTTTTTGGCTTCATTTGCCATCAACACAAATTGCGAGACTATATAACTATTGGTATTTACCCCGCCTTATTTTGCAAAAAACAATTGTTCTTCCTTTTCTTCCCTATTGACCTACACCATCAATGGTTCTTCTATCCTCTGGCAGAACTCTTTTCTTTGATAGCCTCTCCAGTTTTCTTGCAATACTATCACTATTAAAAAAAGTCTCAAACTGGTTTTGCTGTTGCAATTAGTTTCAATCAACCACTCATTGTTGGTTTCTTCTCGTAGTCACCACCCATTGACTTTGAGCACTATTGGCCACCTAGCATCTGTTATTGCTGCTACCATCAACTCTACTTCAAATAGGCATTTTTATTAAAGTGCCATATTTCCCCGCCCTTAGTCAAAATATCCTGCAAAAGATTTTCTAATATTTGCTAGTATAATGCTTGAAATTGTTTATCTTTATCTTTGAATGAAATTATCATTAAACTCTTACAAAGAGTAAATGCTAGATGTAATAACTGAAAGTAAACAAACAAATAAATAAATATAATAATAATAATAATTCGAATGGGCATCAAGGATATGCATCCCTTTGGTTATGACTTAAGAGCTGCTTGCTCCCTTTCGAACGACGGAATCAAAGGGGCGATAAATGAAATTGCAGAGGTGAAGGAGAAGAAGAATCCGAAGGGAAGGATGGTGGTCAAGTGACTTCTATACTGTGCACACGTGCAAAGGAAGAGTAGGAAGAAGGAGAAAGATCGCATGAGTGATGTATTATGCCGAGCCCTAGCCGAACGAAGGTGAGAAGTACGGAGGAAGCTGCAACTTCTTGCGCTGGTCCTGTGCAAAGGAGGCGGCGGCAGTGCCGGGTTGAGTCGTGACTGAAGGTAGAGAAGGTAGGAGGAAACTTCGACGTTGTGTTAGTGTCGAGGAAGAGGAAGAAGAGGCGCTGTGCTCATGTAGAGGAGAGGAGGAAGAGAGCTGAAGCTTTGGGCGCGCATAGGGCAGACGACCGAATGCTAGATTTTTAATAAGTCAATTAATATAATGTTATATATATATATATAT